CGTTAGGTCTTGCCCATGAGCTAACTAGGGAAGATCTAACGGCCGGGACAGCGGCACGCCAGCCGGATGTCCCACCCGAGGCTTCTCACCTCCAAGTGCATTTTTAACTCCCGAGGGGAGATTTTATTTTGAAAGGAGGAACCGGATGTACAGCTTGAATCTTTCTGGCTTGGACTGAAACAGACGAAAAGTTACCTGAAATAACACCTTTCTCTCCAAGGAACAGTGAGCGAGCCGATTAAAAAGTTCCCTGACTGATCGGACAGTTCCTACCCAGGGGTTGCTTAAGAAGCCATCACCAGGTAAAACTGACGTGTTCCGGGTGACATGTCATGTGGAAACTGAGTGCAGAAGGGATGTGCTGATCCGGTTGGACCACACATTTGACAAAGTAAAATTAGTATAATACTAACCTTACTTTCATCCTTTTCTTGTTCTTTATTTGCCAAAACTCAAGCTCAAAGTGCCAGTAAAATTGTTTGGTTGTAACATCAGAACTGAHGTTTTACTGTTCTATATAAGTAATCTGAGTTGATGTGAATTAAAATTCGGATGMGAGTTTTATCTCATTTAACTTTGGAGCTTGTTAGGAATAACCACAATCAGGTGTACTTATGATTTGTTCAATTTGTGTAAATAAATGATTGCATAGTCTTTATGAATCAACTTGAACTCGTCTGAACGCCCACTTATTGTGTCACTTTCACTTCGCACAGTCAAGATATTAAAAGTAATGAGAAAATACCTTGGTAAAACTTTCCTCATAACCTTGTTTATGAGAGATGTAGGAAAAGCTTAATTCACCCTAAGCTTCACCCCTACACAAGACACCATGTTTCATGGAAATCAAATACTGCACATTCCCCATCTTGGTAGTGGGGATGCTTCTTGGCAGCTAAAGGGTAAAATGAAAGCTGAAAATTATAGGGAGATCCTGAAGCACAATCTGATGCTGTCTACAAAAGCATTATGGCTGAGACGATTTGTTTTCCAACAACACAATGACCAAACTGACTGAAATGCATTTGTGATGCATCCAAAGTTATTAAGCACTGATGTGAAGGGAATTTAAATGATGGATCTCACCAGTTGTCTCTTTGTTCTGGCTAAGCTCGAACTGAATCCCCCGGTAGAGCTCTCTGGAGATCAGACCATATGCTATGATCATCACCACCCCCGGGACAAAGAACAGAGTGAACAGCAGCAGCACGGACCTGAKGGGGGAGAGAACATGCACAGTAAGAAAACAACTGAAATAAAATACAGCCTTAAAGCAAAAGGAAGTTGCTTGGAAACTTATAAAGTTCTTATTTATTGCTCTGCACACCTTCAGGAATGTTCTGAAGATAAGTTAGAGGCCAACCAGATGTCCACCCACCTCTAAGCATCCCCCCCACCTTGATGTACAGCAGAATCCCAAAGTAGTTCTACATTCTGCTCAATCTTCAGTACTTTGCTTCCTCTCTAAAGGAAATATTTATTTAATGCTCGGTGTAACCTTGTTGATGCACCGTATTTTACAGCTCAACACGCTTCACATCCTGCTGCAGCTTCAGTAGATAACATTTATTTTAGTGCTTTTTCATTTAACGCACAATTAGCAAAATCTATTTCTCTTTCGAAATCAGGAGCTCAAAAGTAAATGACCTAATGCTTGTTTACTGGCTGTTAAATGAGAAATTAAAGGCCAAACTGCAATTTGACCACAAATATTTCCCGAATATTAGGACCACTCAGGGAAAGGAGGGCAGGAGAGATAGAGTGGAAAAAAGTTTTTTTTGGTAATTAATTGACTTTCAACTTGTGCAGAAATGTGAAATGAATTGACTCATCCTTCCACCCACCCACTTGTTCCAGAGTCAGGATTTGGGGGCAGCAGATTGATCAGGGAAGTCCAGACGTCTCTTTCCACAGCCACCTCTTCCAGCTCTTCTGGGAGGACTCCAAAGTGTTCCCAGATCAGCTGAGAGACATGAGTGACTTTGCCACAGGCTCTGCTCTCTTGCATGAGCTGCCATGGATGATGGAAGTTATTGGTTGATGTTCTCATTCAGTGCATGCTGAAAACAARAGAATTTACAGGGAGATTGTCCAGATGATGGTGGAGAACCATCATCTGGTTTGAAAAATCTTGAGTCAGATTTTGGGGCAATGAAGGACCACAATGGCTTGAGTGGCTCAAACCAGCAGGACTGGAGCTGGTTTGGGTACATGAAGGTGGTCTACAGCCATTGTTTTGACTGCTGCTCTGTGACTCTTCACAAACTTCAGATGATAGACACGTTTAGAAACACTCAGTGTTCTGAGCTTCTCAGGATCCATAAAAGGGTCCCCAATAATTATTTCCCTTTGACTGCTCAGAGCCAGGCAGTGGTCTAAGTAGTGCAAAGAGGTCTCTAGTTCAATGCCACAGGTGTCACACAGACCATTGTCATGGAGTCCYTTCACCATTTTGTGGCAGTGGAGTAGGTTGGGCCCAATTAGGACTCCAGCCAGTGTACTTATAGTTTTCCTTGTCAGGGAAATGAGATTTTTCCCAAACCTTAGATTTTGACCATCAATCAGTTCCTGTGCCTGTGTGTATTAGCTCCCTYCAGTGGATTGAGTGTTGATGTCTAATCCAGGCCTAGACATAAAATGTCAAGTCTCTGCAAATTCATTTTAAAATAAGAACTTTTTTATCAATAGACTTCTTAACTGTAGCACTGAATGAATGATGATAAACAGCAGCTTCTGCACCTTCATGGTAAGTGTACCACCCACTTTTGAAAGACATTACTGCCTCCTTTGCATTGACGAGACCCCCCACAGCGTGGGGACACAAGTCACAGTGGCAAATCACCTACACCTGAGAAGAGCCAATCAAAAGAGATCCGAGTGGAGCTGTACTCAGCAATTGCAAAGAGCCTTTAGTCTCTCCAGTGTGAACTGGGTCTTCCTCAGGATCATCTCCCAGTTGGACTTGCCCAGAACACCTCCCCTAGGTGCGAAAGTTTGGGCAGCCTTGTTAATTTTCCTAATTTACTTTTATAAATCATTGATTCTTTGGATTAAAAAAATCAGTTAAATATATCATATAGGGGACAAACACAGTGATAGTTGAGAAGTGAAATGAAGTTGATATGATATACAGAAAGTGTGCAATAATTGTTTAAACAAAATTAGGCAGGTGTATAATTTGGGCACAAAAAAATCCTTAACTCATTATTTAGTAGATCCTCCTTTTGCAGAAATAACAGCCTAAAAATGCTTCCTATAGCTTCTAATGAGAGTCTGGATTGTGGCTGAAGGTATTTTAGACCATTC